TTGACTTGTGGTATAGCTGATTTTTAAATTGTATTGCACTCGATATGCAGATGTTAAGCTTGTGAGATTGGATGTACCAGCATATACAACGTTTTTTTATGAGAAAAAAGTTACAAGTGGCCAGTGATCGATAAAATCATATATTATATATACCACCGTAAAATACCGCACTAAAATCACAACATTAAAATATTTACAATATAATATAAGAAGAAATTGCTAAGTCATCTCTGTTGTGAATTGTTCCTCCAATAATATTGGCTGTAAACAAAAAAATGTAATACCGAATCCCTGCCTGTGAGAATATTTTATAAAATAACTATTATACGTAACCTAAATTGTATAAGAAGTAGTAAGGACAATAATCGTTGCAGGATAACCATCTATCCAGTCAGATGAGCATTTTCAAAATTTCAGATAACACGAACCGTTTTTTTGTTGCGTTTGCTAAGTACGCTTTATGTAACGCATCTTTGAATTATAATTTCTACTTAAATGTTGGTAATATCCAATTTTTCACTTATTTATTCACCTTGCGAGTTCATGGCTAATAAATAATAATAACAGATTAAAACGTTGTCTGTAGTTGTGTTGCATATTATATTACAGTAAACAGCGGGGGGCTACTGAAACGGACGTCAAATTTCGCGAAATATAAGAATAAATAATTTATAATCACCGACTTTAAGCTCATAAGACCAAAATTATCACCATAAATTATATCACTATCCATCATAATTAAATATTAAACGTTTAAACGGTTAAATGATTATCGCGTACGTTTTGGACTTCTACGATTATTGTATTGAATAGATTTTTCACAATGGATTATATTCGATACAAATAATATGTATCATTTTATTTAGTTTAAGCAATTTGAGAGAAAATTAATTAATTTTTAGTTTCCAAACACAAATTAGTTATAAATACTTATATCCGCATCGTGATACGGACGAACTGTCCGTTCGTTAGTTACCACTTTACCAGTATATAATTAGAAGGTGTATGTAATTTCAGTTTATTACGTTGTTTTACAATACTTTTAGATACCAGGAATTTAGCTCACAATGAGCTCTTCTAACTAGTTCAAGAAAATGTTGGGAAAAATTAAAAGTTCACACAAGGTAAATAATTGTGTAAAGACTATATATTTTTATTGCGTGATAACGTGTATGTTATAAATATTTTTGTGTCCGCCACAAATTTACAAGATTGAGTGATCTCCCTGCAACGCTTTTACGGTAAACTTATGTTTTTCAAGTGGGACATGCCCTCTTGAACACGTTGTGGAGGTTGACTCGGTGAAAAAGGAAGGAACAAAATATATAACATTGTACATTACTCTTATGAATTGTAGTTTTCACCAGCGTGTTTTAAACTTTGTCAAACATCGCCCTCGAATGGTTATTATTCAGTCTATTGCATACTATTATATGGGTAATATATGTATTTATTTAGTATATTATTAAACTACGCCCGCATAAAAAGTTATGAACCAACGTCGGATTTTAAACAATATTTTACTTCGAAGAGTTAATATGATAATAATAATAACAATATTATGATCCGCATAAAAGTAAAAATAAATCTAGACTGCAACGATCCAATAACAATACTGTGCGTTAATATTATGTGATGTCCCCTTAACCCAATATAAGTACCTAAAGAATTTTAAGCATTGAACGAAAACAGGGACGGAACGCGTTTGGCGTTAATTATTGTAAGTAAAGAAATGATTTCGACGAGTACCCCGACTGTACCAAAACATTAAAACAGTATAATATTATTGAACACATTATTATAACTTGTAAACTAGGCAATACACTACAACATGGGCATTATATCATACAACGATATTATACTGTTGTTATACCGGCGAAGGATTTAATCGAAAAATTGTTTCGTGAGATTTCCGACTAAGACATAGGTACATTTAATTATCTCAGCCACTTCACAAAGAAATAAAAATTGTTTTTATACACCTAGTAGGAATAGCGCTTTAAACATTTAATTGTTCCTTTCAAATATAACTTTTTTTTCACAACGATATATTTAAAATTCCGTTCATGGATTTTTGAACGTCGATATAAATATTATAATATTTAATCATATTATATTCTGAAGTGATACATATTGTTAAACATATGTTTTATGTAGGAAATTGATACAAAAATTTAAGTATAATCATATTATTATAAAATATCGACATCGAAATGGTAGGGGAGATGATGAAAATAAACCAATTAGAAAAAATCAAACTAAAAAAAATTAAAAACATAAAAATCACAAATTGATAAGAAAACATGAACGAGTTTGATTTTTGTTAAGAATGTTTACGAAACCTAAGTGTTGTATTTGTACGTTCTCCGGATGAGTGGCTATATCCATGATGTACATACTATATAGACTCATCAAATTATAAATAAAAAAAAAAAACATTAATCTACCGGCGTTTCAGTGCACATAATATTATTATACCAGTGTTTCGAGTGTAAAAAAATCACCTAGCGAGTTGAACGATTCGACGAGGACGCGGAGGAGTAGCAGGAGGGGGAGAATATGCTGAGAAGTTCCGTGAAGACCATGTAGGGAGAGGGATAAACTTTGTACGTATACGTTCCCCTGGGCAATTTGGTTGGATATGGTCGATATTTACAGCGGCGAAGAATCATACGCTGCACCGCCGCTCGCGGTGAAACTACAAGTTTGGGGGGGGGGCGAGGGGTAAGAATTCAAGACACGTGTAAAACTCCACCGTCGAGGCTGTAAATTTGATTTCGCCCATTGTTTACCGTCGGCCGATTACGTTCAATGAATACATCATTACACACACCGCGGCGCCGCCACATAGCGACCGGTCGTGTCGTCGTGTCTATTTTTGTTGTAATTTACACAACGATGTTATTGTTGAGGTTACAAATATAATAAAAACGGTAATAGACAAATCGAAGGGACCCCGCGAAAGTCAACTGTGCCCGTGCGAATAATAGTCGACCACGCCGGACTAAAAAATACACAATAAATAGTTTTGCTCGTTACTGCGGTATGCCCGAGCCGTGATGCACATATCATTATTATTACGTCGATTTATCGAAATGTCTATACGCCAATCGTGATTATACTATGTGTATTATTTATTTTTTACACGTCTCAAAATACAACCCCGCGGCAAGGGCCATCAGTGATGATATTTTACAAACGGTAATGGACAAACCCAAAGAACCCTGCAAAAATCGACTATTCCTATACGAACAACCACTATCATGGTGGTGTATGAAACATATGAGCGTAATTTTGTACGTTGTTGTGGCGTGCCTGTCGCGATGCACATAATATTGTTATTGTGTCGATTTATACGATCTATATGCGTCAATCGTGATTATGCATATATTATATATTTTTTTGTTTTTTCATATTGGTCTTAAAATACAACCCCGCAGCGAGGGTCGTTGGGGGTTATGTTTTATAAACGACAATGGACAAACCGAAAAGACCCTGCAAAAATAGACTATACCTACTAACAATAATTATGCCGGAGTATAAAATAAGCGTTTATTTGTGGTTGTACGGTGTGCACATAATGTTGTGTAAATTATTATTTATCGAAATATCTGTAACACGTCAATCGTAGTATGTAATATACAGCTATTATACAGATTACAGGTACCTATACAGTATTGTTTCGCAGAAGACACGTTATTTTTATTCGATATTTCCAATAATTGAATAGTAGGTACTTGGCACAATACGGCGAGGGGGGGAGGGGTTAGCTGGTGGTTTGGGAGCTCACATATATACTGTAATACAGTCGTATAGGTGTACAGCCGTCCTAAGGAATTGGCAGCTGTCTTTTTTACTTTTTAGGCAAAATTTAACGACTCTGTCGGACAGTCCGAAACCCATATCTCACTCATGTGTCAAAGTTATAGTTTTTTTTCAAGACGTTATTTCCGATTTAGAATGGATTGTTCCGTACGTACAATGACACTGTGGACTACAATTTTTAGTCGTGTTTTTTTGTGTTTTCTTCCGACGCTTTCTATAACTACTGGGAATTGGGGACAACAGCCGCTGCCCGAAACTCGTTGTCACTTAAGTTCGAGTATAAGTTTAGATTCTCTCGAAAATCCTCCCACCACAGAATTCGATAACAAGCAAAATGTACGATATGGAAATTTCCAGCAACGCCTTGGCAGGTTATAGGTTATGGGTTCGTGTCTTGGGGAATATTAATTTATCCAGTGGTTACCATATAGTTCGAGGGGGCTCCGACCCTTTCTTATTTTGCATTGAATCATCATCATCACTTTTTGATATAATCAATATAAAATAGGTATACTAAAGTTGTAATATTATATGACATCATGTTTGTTGCCACAGTAATAAATTATAAGACGTCTATTATAAATAAGTATATGCATATTATCGGTCAATGGCGAACAGCTGGTCTCGCACACACAGTAATCTCTTCTTTGTACTGTCTTCATTTTTTTTTAATAACTATGATTGAACGTGTCTTGTGAGTTATATAATAATATTATTATGTAGATTTAACAACGAGTAATCGCATGTCGCCGCTTCGGCTGCTCGAATATCATAATATTCACACAGCCGCCGTGATTTTTGTCTCGTACCGTACGTTATCGGGACAGCACCGACGAGGGTCAAAATATCATATCTCTTTTATTTTACTCGAATGGTAAAGGTGTCTTGATATCGTGAGCCATAAGGGTCAGTTTTAATATTTTCTTAAGCGCGTGCGTGAACCGCCACCAAAATTGTGGGCTCAAATCGCCAAATAGGTACTTCAAAATTGTATTTTTTTTTTCGGTGATTATCGCCGCGTATTTTGTCATCGTTATTGAATCGTGGTCGCGAATTGCCAATTATGTGATTACATAATTATTTATTTCAACATAATATTGTGTCATTATTATATTGTATTATTATTCTTATTATAATAGAAATATAGACCAGTCTGCGCTCCACAAACTGTGAGTTAGATCTTTATTTTTATAATCTGTTACATTTATTTTTACATATTGAGCCAGAAAAGCTGCATATTGCTATAGTATTTTAGTACGAGCTTACAGCCCAGATAGCTGCTTTTACATATTTTTATTCTGCGGGGCCAGGAGGGCATATACCGTACTTCATTCTGTTTGGCCATATTAATGCATTTTAATTATTATCCTTCATACCTTTCTGTTGCTGTGATTTATTATTATTATTATATTTATATTATACGCTTACAGCTCTAATAGCTGCCAATATATATTTATTTATTCTGTCGGGACAGAAGGGGTAAATGTCAATTAATTTTTGAGTTGTTTTTTCAAGTGTTTCTGTGATTACTTTCTATATTTGATACCATTTCTATTAATATTGTTTTTATAAATTGTCACCAGCAACACAGATAGATCAGTTTACCATATTTTTCACCTGTTGGTCCGAATGGGCCGTAATTTTATATTTGTATATTGTGGATTGTTTGAAATTTTTCGTTGCAGAGCAACCTACAATCACCAGAAACCTTGTTAGCATTTTTTAATAGTTTTAATTTTAAACACACCTACACTCATAGGTACACACTTATACACAAATACACATATTACACAATAACATGCGCTATGTAGCTCGACAGCATTTTCCCGGAAATCCTGACCACAACCGTTCGAGCTATTACATCACTACACACCGATGAGCTATAGTCCTCTATATTTTCAAGACTTAGGACTTAGTTTTTCGCAAAATCAAGTTGGTGTCCGATATCACTACTCATCCGATCCTAACAATATCAGTATGTTGTTTGAGTTTTTTAAGATTTTGTTAAGCCTAAATGTCTATTATAAATATAATGCGTGACATTTAAACATTATTTGTTGATTTTTAATACACAGTAATAAATATTTACAATTGGGCATCGTATAACATTATCTGTGACAAAAAAATCAAATGTCCTTCTTTTAAAACTTAGCTCGTTAATTACTTTATCTAATGTCATTTTGATTGCTACACATATTTTTGTACATTGGACTGTATACAATAATTAAAACAACGACGTGATTTAAGAATGTTTTATATCATATTCGTCATAATATCATCCTTATTGTTCACATAGTATATAAGAAATTAAGATGTATTAATGTAGAAAAGCAATAATATATTTTATATTCCGTTCCCGTTTAAACAATTAAAACACAACATAAATTCGTTATCGCACAACTAGTACGAGAAGGGTCAATGATAAAATTCGTAGGATCCATAACATTATAGCTGCACTTTTGCAGGAGGAGTTACACAACAGCAGCAGCCACACTAGTCGACGACCGACACCCACCGACACTATCTCACCCACATCCAAGTGTCCCGACGAATACAACGAGATGAATAAATGTCTGATGATTCTGGCAGCTGTGTGCATTTTGTTTGCGGTTGTTGGATCGGCATACGGCGGTTGTCCTGAAAATTGCTGGGATTTATACATTGGGGCAATTTTTCGGTGTGTTTCTCCAAAAGCCACGATTATGTGTAAGAAGAAGTATTCAATTTTGGGCGAATGTCGATGCTGGTGTTGTTAGCTTGTCTTGCTCATTTGGAGCAAGCTACGTTGTAATGTATGGATGTGTTTATTATTATTTTTTACTCCAACTCTGTAATAATAGTACTTAATATTATGCCTATGTTTGTTTTTCGGATATTCGACTCGAATAATAAACTTTGTTACTTTATGAGTTGTGCTTTCTTTGTTATTTTCTCAATTAAATCACATGTAGGTACATTAAAACTATGTAACTAACTATCATTATTGTACTTAATAATAAAATTCTATAATATAATTATACCCATATAAAGAAGAAAAAACTAATTATTATAATTGTACATTTGTACTTAATAATCTGTAATATTATAATTAATCAATTATTTTAATTTTAATTGTATTAACTATGAAATAATGTAAAACTATTAACTCCATTTGATAATATTGTACACTGTATGTTGTTGAACAAAATGCATGATTATTTTTTTTTTAATTTGAATTATGTATAACATTATATGTACATGTTGTATCCAGTTAACTGAAAAATTCGGAATCATAATACATTTATGAGGATATCTATTTTGTTTTTAGCTAATGAACGTCATTAAACACAACGTGTTTCTAATGTTTCAAATGTATTATTGTTTTTAATAAATTGATGTACTCACATATAATTATTATTTCATATTTTTGATTTTACGGAATGAATTCCATTTAAAATAGGTAATATTGCTTTATTTCAGTATAACAAACATATTATGTTGATAGCATGCTAACTTATCAGTATAATTAAAGATACAGTATAAGAAAAACTACGACCATATATTGGTGAACTCGATTAGTGGAGTAGTGGAGCAACAGGTTTTAAAATGTTCACGATTTTTTATAGATTCACGAATCGCATTATTATTTCCAGAAAAGAGTAAACATGTGTGCCGTTAGCATAATAATATGTTACAATAAATCCATCAGTATAGGTAGTCACCTATAGCTTTTGAGTCAATTTAAACTTGACGGAATAACACTAATATTCGTTAAAATGTAAATTAGCTCTTTATGATTAAACGGTATCAAAAGCTTTTGCTAAATCAAGAAAAATTGACAGCACCAAAACTAGGCCTAAAACCAATTTAGAAAAGAGTTGGCATTTATCTAGGAATAATATGAGCCTACTTTTGACAATTATTCCAATATTTTAGAAAGACTACTTAGCATAGAAATATTGGTCTATCCGACAGTAATTTAATATTTTTGAAGTTATTGATAATTCGAGAGCATTTGGATTTTTATTATTTTCATTAAAAAAGCTATTAATAGAATTTGCGGAGCAGTTCACCACAAATTAAAAAATGATTCTTCAAAATGTCGAGCTGAAGTAACACCGATATTTATGAAAAGTATATTAAATATATTAGTGAAGTAGTGTGAATCACTTTTTAAATTAAAAATACTACCGATTACCTACTACAATTTATTGTACTAATATCATCATTAATATATTATAGTATATATTTGAGTCATCTTTAATTACCTTCTATGAGAGTTTTGGATTGAATGAAACCCCATTAATTTTACTTAATAATATTTAATCTTTGAGGCTCGTATAATAATTAATAGCTGTTAAATTATTTTTATATTTATTTTAATAAAAACTAGTTAAATATTATGAGGGTACTTATGAACTTGCAGTGGTAATTTTTTTTTAGGGCTTACCGAGTACAGTAGGCCAGAGCCCAAGGCGTCATCCACTATTGAAGCAAATTTTTTGTTTGAAATTTACAATTGTTGTTGTTAGTTTTTCAAAATATGTGTGTCATAACTTAATCAAAAAAGATATTCATACAATCATTTACGTCATTACAAGTAAATATTCCAGCCCACACCTTATTTTCAAATAACTCGTTTATAGAATATTAAAGTTAATTATTTTAAAACCATTTTTAAAAAATTGTTGTTTTTTTAAATTTCTATTGCCAACACACCTTTACATTATTAGTCTCTAAATATTCCCGAGCTGTCAAGGACAACGAACTCCGTAGCTACAATTTTTTTTTCAAAAACTAATTCTACGTCAATAATAAGCACGCACTTTTCCCTCTTCTCATCCGCTACTTTTCCTATATAAATAGAAGCTATCTGCAGTCAGAGCTTTAGAGGTACTTCACTCATCGTCTCAGCTGAGCTGTATACCAACTGCACAAGTTCAGATTTTGTCAGGTAAACAAACATTACGTGTATTTTTTTTATTCAAATTTGCAAACACATCAGTACATTTCCAATTCGTTTTTAAGTGCTCGAAACTAATAGTTTCAATTTATTAATTTTGTGTTGCCTATCGTCCACGTGCGCTCATCAGAACGCGATATTAACCAAGTCCAGCAATCCCGATCACTATACAGAGCAAGATGAATAAATGCCTATTGATTCTGGTAGTGGTGGCGTGTCTTTTGGGAATGATCGAATTGGCGTACGGAGATTGTCCAGGAAATTGCTGGTACTACAGGTCGGAGGCAACCAAACATTGTTCTTCTCCAACAGCGACCAATGAGTGCAGCGGTTATGACCTTTTTGGCCTATGTCGATGTTGGTGTTGTTAGACTTGTCTTGCTCGATCGATTCATAAGTATGCCAACAATTGTATAATGCATAGTTGTGGTTATTTTATTTTACCCGAATTCGATGATAATTATAATTAATACTATATGCTCATGTTTGTTTTACGAATAACGGCTGTAATAATAAACCTTGTTATTTTATAAGTTTTTTTTTTTTTTTTTGGTTACTCTTACAATCAAATCACAAACAATATAATACTAAATAAATAAATATTTTTTTTTCTTAATGATCAACTTCTGTAATATTCTGGCTAATCAATTATTTTTATTGTAATTTTATTGTTCATAAAATAATGTGAAACTATTAACACCATTTGACAATGTAAACATTGTAAACTATGTTGTTAAAATAATACATGAAAAATCATTTACTTTGATAAACATGTATCACAAGTAACATGACGTATATGATAATGTCACATGTTGTTTACATTTTGTATTTAGTCAATTGAAAAAGTAGGTATGCAATACTTCATAAAAACATTTATTTTGTTTTTACCTAATAAAAATAAACATTGTAAAACATATCAAGTTTTTGCTGAGTCAAGTGTTATATTGTTTTGGAATAAATGAATGTACTCACATATAATATTAATATAATTTATTTGATTTTACTGAATTAATTCAATTTACAATAGAGAATACTGCACTATTGCAGTATAACAGATACGTTATGATGACACCATGCCGTTTTATTAATTTACAATTATAGACAATGGTGCATGACGCTACACGAGAATATTGAATATTGGTTGATCGTGGTCCAGTCATGGTGTAGGATTGGGTTGAGTTGATGAGAATAACAACACAAACACGTCTTTATGTATAACGGATGCAATATTTTATTAGGTGCAACCAAACAATAGAATATTAGCTCTGCGACAGTGAATTTTAAGTCAAACGATGTGCTGTCGGTCCGATACTCCGATGAAAGAGACAACCAGCCTCTTTCGCCGATCGTAGGTCTCACGCGACACGGTCCTCCGTAATCGGCCCGTCCCTTGGTGAGAGAGCCGACCGGGTCGCGATGCTTGCGCCCTGTAGGGGTGGTAGGATATGACGGATTATATCTACAGTGACACCTAACATAACGGACACCTATAAATAACGGACACATCCGAATATCGAACGTTTTTATGGGAGGAACGGTGCCATTTTCGCCATTTTTGTATAGGAAAACCCCTAAATACCGGGCACTCTAAATAACGGACACTTTTAGGGTAATTTAATTTTTGATTTTGACAATTTTTTTTTCTTAAATATCGAATAATCGAGGAATACCTTAACAAATAACAATCTATCTAGGTATCTAATCTAATTTTCTTACTGTATATTATTGTACTATATGAACAGACGTACAGCTATAGATTATCTTATCCGGCCATTATCTCGAAGATGAACACATTTTTTTAGTTTATGTTCTGTGGCGTTATCTCACGCGTGTTTAGTTGTGTTTATGACTTTATTACATACGGACGTATTCTTAAACGTGTTAGTAAACGTTTGTTAGTAAAATGGCTATAGTAAACGAAAAAGATTAAATCTAAAAGAAAAATTAAGCTTTTTGAATTTTTATCGTTTAATACAAATATGGGTATTCGTTAACTAAAAAGTTTAGTGTTAGCAAAACACAAATCGCGGAAACCATAGCTAACAAAAACGCTCTATACAAGGCTTTTACTGAAAGTTAGAGAATCGAAATCATAATCTATATCATTATTATATATTTTATATAAATGTTGTACTTACATAGTATGTAGTCATTAATTTCTCCGATTTATTTTCGAGAATTTTTTTCGCCTCCGAATAGAGGGCAACTCTTAATAACGGACAAAATTGCGGAGACCGAGAGTGTCCGCAATTTAGAGGTTTCACTGTACGTGGTAGACGCCACTAGACGGGCCTTTATTATAGTGCTTGACGCTTGCACATTGTACTTGCTGTACCAGTGTTGTGTAATAACTAAATTTAGTTGGATAAATTTATCTAGATATACCTTATCTAGTATCTAGGTAAAGCTATGGTATCATTATCTTATCTAGAAAAGTTACAAAATTAGTATTTAACCGTCATCTAAGATGGAAACTGTGGTTATTCAGACGAATTTTCTAGATTTTTCACGAGATGCAAAGTCTGCGAAAAATACACAGATATTATTTTTTTAAATATTAATTTTAAATTTGTTTATGATGCCCAACATTTTACGGTACCTACAGTTGATTGACGAAAGACCATGGTATAATATTATATAGTTTCGGGTAATCGTGTTGGTATATTATATTTATTTTTTCCTCAAATGCCTTAAATTTGCTTTCTACTACAGTGTACTATTGCCGACCGCGTCATACAATATAAGGAAAATTACGAACATAATAATATACTGGTTATGCAAATAACAGTACCAACACCAACTAAATAACTTTCCTGTTTTCTGTTAACTTACAAAAATTTCAATGATTTCTACAAAGACGTCAGAGACAGTATACCTACTCAGTAATTTGTAAATTGTCACAGTTATAACCTCAGCCCTCAGATTAAAATTGAAAACAAAATAAAAATGAAAAACAATATCTAACAGGTCTCACCAGCGCCTATTAAACATTTTCGAACGTAATGAGACTAAGAACATAATAGGAATATGAATAAATTAATATGAATTATATGGCAACTATAGTAGGTACTTTGTTCATTTTATTTCTGACGGATAGTAAAATATCGACAGGCGAAAATGCCATATGTCATCGCTAAAGAAGCAAAACCACCTAAGTCTTATCAACTTTACAGGAGTGTACAAATATCGGTTTCTGTATAGGTAGTTATGATTATTTTAACATTTTTAGTTAAATTATGTAGTTTTTTTAGTGATTCTAAATGCAAAAGTTGAGGGACGTTGTGTTACATTTTACAATTTTTTGACAAATCAAAAAAAACTGTATTAATAATAATTTAAAAAAATGTGGTAAGTGGATGTCGCTCTGCTGTAAATTAGGTATCGAGGAAGTTGCTGTAATGGATGATATTAAATTTGAATTCAATGATATGATATCATTGTATACGAAAAACGGTTCTGAGCGGAGACGGTATGTCAGTCTACGATATTTTATATTGTTACCTATTACTTATTATTAATATGGTAGCCGGTAATTGAATTAATATTATTCTTAAATAATCAGTGATGCTGGAAAAATATTAAATATACTACATACCTATGTAAAATTGAGCTGTTTTAGAACCGAATAAAAACTAAATGATAAACGTTATTATTTGGGTTAATAGGCAATTTTGTCCAAATTTGATCTTAAAATGTGTATACAAAATAACTGTATTTATAAATGTCTTAAATTTTTAGTTACGGGAAAAACTGCTTAAGTGGGACCTTGTTTTAAATTTTCAATCCTTAGAGCTTTAAAAATTGAAAATGTCATACATTTTTAATTACAAAATCATTTTCAATTGTCAATTTGATAAATATTGTCAACGTTTGAACTTTAAATGCTTATAAAAAAAAAATCGTGCCTATGTATTTTTCAATAATTTTCAACTGATATTGTAACAACATATCAAGAGTCTTGTTTTCATGCTTTTTGGCCCATCCAATACAATTTTATTGACATTTATAGAGAAAAAAAAATATGACAATGGAAAATGTCCATCAACTACTTAAAACGAGTTAAAATATTTTAAAGAATGTATCAAGTATATGAATTGATGAAATAAACATATTGTGTAAATTCCAAGTGTACACAGTAATTTGTTTTTGAATTACAACATAATAAGAAAATTGTTACGAGAGAAATAGAGTGAATATCCAATGTTGTAAAAATGTCAACTTAAAACGATCATAGAAATTTAATTTGACTTTCTGGTAGACATTTTTTTTTTTGATACTGTAGACAAGCTTATAAGAAATCGTGTATTACATTTTTAAATCTTAGATATAAAAAGAAACATTTTTATAAATTTCTAACTAAATATAATTTGCTAATTTTCGTGATTTTTACGATTTACTCTAAACTTTTTTTTTAATTTGCACTAACTACAATTTACAAGGAACCTTGTATTATATTCAAACGTTTTTTGACAGAGCGAAACATTTTTTATCGACATTAGTTTAAAAAAAACAAATAATAATTGAAAATTTCATATGCCTATAAAGTATAAATAGTTCAACACAAGTCAAAATACTTTGAATATTTTATGGTGTATAGAAAATGCTTTCACAAATATTCAGTGAACATTTCACGTATCTACGGTCATTTTCTTTTAGAGTTACACTAAAAACCGAAATCCATATTTTTGCTGGTTGAGTGTAAAAATTTCCGTTTTTCCTTAATTTTTTGTTTGTTTTTGCTGTCTCCTTTATGTTGAAGAAATTCGAAGAACTTTTACTGCAAGAACCCGCGATGACAGACACAAAAAAATAAATAAATATAAAAGCACACATCATTGTAAAATAAATACATTCATCGCGCCGCTCAGAATCTAAAATACTAATAGAACTTGAAACTTTCTTATGCCTAAAAAAAACTCAAAAATAGTCTTTATAATATCTAAATGTTATGGTACATAGAAATTACTAATTTAAACATTCAGTTAAAATTTCATTTGTATAGTTTCAACAAAAAATATTTTTTGTTGAGTTGAGCTAAACAAATAGATTGTTTTAAGAAAACTGGTTTGGAGTAAAAATCTCAGTTGTTCTTCAATTTTTTATTTGTTTTTCTTGACGATTTTTAAAACTATTAGGAATTTTTAAGTTTTAAATCCCCCTCCCCAAATACCATCTAGCTTCACTTTCTTGACAGAAAAGATGCTGTCGGAGAAAATCGAAGTGTTTTTACTGTCCTAAAATGTGATGACAGACACAAAAATGAAAAAAAACACACACATCATTGTAAAATCAATACATTCTTCGCTCCGCTCATAATCTAAAATGTTGCGATGAAACTCATATTTTTTAATTGACTTCAATTTGACACAGAACAGTTCATATGGAAATATGTGGTATTGTATTACGATTTTAGATATGCTGTGTTTTCATTTTTTATGACAGGGCGATCCCACAAGTATGCTCACCCCCTTTTTTTCCTTAGTAATAAAGTTTTTCAAAATCTGATTTTTTAAATCTTTAAATATGCTCAAAGACCATATTTTAATATTCTTGATATTTTTCGTACCACTTAAAGAGTGCCCTGGGCTATACGAACTTTTGTTTTTCAAATGAGAAACCTCCCTTTTTACTGTAAATTATTTAGAGGACAATTTTTTTGAGAATTTTGATGTTTAGAAATCAAAATTCGAACTAGTACTTTTCTAGTTATCAAAAATTTAGTGCCCAAATAAAAAGGATAATATAATTTATAATAATGAACGCTTGCACAGTTGTTATGCACATAACATATTAACATGAAATAATATATAATTAAATATTTATTTTGTCAAACACTTAGGTTTACTGCTAAAAATTTACAACCAATTATATAAATTGTATGATCTTTGTACTTACATAATCGAGAGCCCGTGGGTC